AATACAGCAGTTAACATCAGTTCAGTTCAATCGCTCAGTCATGTCTGACTTTTTGCGACCCCATGGATTGCAGCACATGAGGCTTCCCTGTCCATCACCAACTCCTGGAGTTTGCTCAAACTCATGTCCATCGAATCAGTGATGCCATCCAACCATCTCATCCTCTGTTGTCCCCTTCTCCTCCTGCCTTCAATCTTGCCCAGCATCAGGCTCTTTTCTAATGAGTTGGCTCTTTGCATCAGGTGGCCAAAGTATTGGAGTTTCAGCTTCAGCATCAGTCCTTCCAATGAATATTCAGGACTGACTTCCTTTAGGATGGACTGGTTGGACCTCCTTGCAGCCCAAGGGACTCTCAAGAGTCTTCTCCAACACCACAGTTCAAAAGCATGAGTTCTTCGGTGCTCAGCTTTCTTTCTAGTCCAACTCTCATATCAATACATGACTACTGGAAACATCCATACATGACTCTCACATCCATACACACCTACTCTCCACACATCCAACTCTTACATACATATGTGACTACTAATCAAACTGATCATATGGACCACAGCCTTGTCTAACTCAATGAAACTACAAGCCATGCCATGTAGGGCCACCCAAGACGGACGGGTCATGGTGGAGAGTTCTGATAAAATGTAGTCCACTGGAGGAGGGAGTGGCAAACCACTTCTATATTCTTGCCTTGAGAACTCCATGAACAGTGTGAAAAGGCAAAAAGACATGACACTGAAAGATGAACTCCCCAGGTTGGTAGATGCCCACTATGCTACTGGAGAAGAGTGGAGAAATAACTCCAGAAAGAATGAAGAGGTGGAGCGAAAGCAAAAGCATCACCCAGTTGTGGATGTGACTGGTGATGGAAGTAAAGTCTGATGCTGTAAAGAACAATATTGCATAGGAACCTGGAATGTTAGGTCCATGAATCAGGGTAAATTGGAAATGGTCAAACAGGAGATGGCAAGAGTGAACTAAGATGGACTGGAATGGGCAAATTTAACTCAGATGACCATTATATCCACTACTGTGGGCAAGAATTTCTTAAAAGAAATGGAGTAGCCCTCAGAGTCAATGAAAGAGTCCAAAATGCAGTCCTTGGATGCAATCTCAAAAGTGACAGAATGATCTCTCTTCATTTCCAGGGCAAACCATTCAATATCACGGTAATCCTGACCAGTAATGCTGAAGAAGCTGAAGTTGAACAGTTCTATGAAGACCTACAAGACCTTCTAGAACTAACACCAAAAAAAGATGTCCTTTTCATCATAAGGAACTGGAATGCAAAAGTAGAAAGTCAAGAGATATCTGGAGTAACAGGCAAGTTTGGCCTTGGAGTACAAAATGAAGCAGGGCAAAGGTTAACAGAGTTTTGTCAAGAGAACACACCAGTCATAGCAAACACCCTCTTCCAACAACACAAGAGATGACTCTACACATGGACATCACCAGATGGTCAATATCAAAATCAGACTGATTATTCTTTGCAGCCAACGATGGAGAAGCTCTATACAGTCAGCAAAAACAAGACTGGGAGCTGACTATGGCTCAGATCATGAACTCCTTACTGCCAAATTCAGACTTAAATCGAAGAAAGTAGGGAAAGCCACTAGACCATTCAGATATGACCTAAATCAAATCCCTTAATTTAATACAGCGGAAGTGAGAAATAGATTCAAGGGATTAGATCTGACAGAGTATCTGAAGAACTATGGACAGAGGTTCGTGACATTGTACAGGAGGCAGTGACCAAGACCATCCCCAAGGAAAAGAAATGCAAAAAGGCAAAATGGTTGTCTGAGGAGGCCTTACAAATAGGTGAGAAAAGAAGAGAAGCTAAAGGCAAAGGAGAAAAGGAAAGATATACCTATTTGAATGCAAGTTCCAAAGAATAGCAAGGAGAGACAAGAAAGCCTTCCTCAGTGATCAATGCAAAGAAATAGAGGAAAACAACAGAATAGGACAGACTAGAGATCTCTTCAAGCAAATTAGAGATACCAAGGGAACATTTCATGGGCGCGACAAAGGACAGAAACGCTATGGACCTAACAGAAGCAGAAGATACTAAGAAGAGGTGGCAAGAATACACAGAAGCACAAAAAAGATCTTCATGACCCAGATAACCAGGATGGTGTGATCACTGAACTAGAGCCAGACATCCTGGAATGCAAACTCAAGTGGGCCTTAGGAAGCATCAGTAGGAACAAAGCTAGTGGAGGTGATGGAATTCCAGTTGAGCTATTTCAAAGCCTAAAAGACGATGCTGTTAAAGCTGACATGTCTTCTATTTATCCTTCCACATTCACTCACCATCCTTCTCCATTATGTGCTCTGCCCATAGAGGCTGATCTAACAGACCACATCAAAAGGGTTCTCAGGCTTTGGTTGAGTTTGGCCAACAGCGAACCCAGGCAGGAGATCAGAGTGGGAAGGAAGGTGGGGTTATAATATTTACTCTTTCAGCTCTCTCACTGAGGGGCACCTGTGCCTGCTGTGTCTCTACAGTGAGAGAGTCACCGATCTTCCCAGAGAGGCAACTTTCCACGCTGTCTCTTTCATGTTCTGTTAACTGCTACAGCAATTCCTCCAGCCTCTATATTTACATGAAAGCCAAAGAATAAGCTAGGAACATATCAGAGATGGGGAAAAGACTAAGGATCGTAACCAAAGAAATCAGTTGAGCTTTAACCCATAAAAAAGAGCACAATTAACATTTTGTGGAGCAAAAATTCATAAAAATAAATATTTTAACTGTTACATCTCACAGATAAATTATATCATGCCATGGGTAAAGATTTTAAATATAGTATTGCCAAGGTAAGAGTCAAAATTATCTAGCACAAATTCACTGACAAGGGGCTGCTGTACAATCTTTTTAAAAAGTTGAATACTCAATTTATTTACTCTAAAGAATAGGGCACTAGACTCACAATCTCTTTGTGCTTATTTTTCCATCTGAAAAGTGTAGTAGTGGTTTTGACTTCTTTAAATTCTCATTTCTGGTAACAAATACTTATGCACTTCCAGTTCTGACTGATTAGAGTGCCCTCATGTGTGTCTTTGCTGTAATGTTTTAGATTTCTGAGAAAGATAGTAATCTCAGCAGCAATACAATTATAATTTATTTCCCATTTATAATAGCTTGAAGTATCACTCAGCAAATGCTGAAGAGTGTGATTAATCCTACTACAGTTCATTATCAAACTTTTCATATGCCAAATTTTATTCTAAAGTAATGAAGTTATTATTTGCCCCAGTTCAAATGTTAATAACTTGAGTTTTTTTCCTTAAAACTTCTAAGATAGGTTTTTCACTATAATATGATTTTATTATCATACCTTAATGAAAAGCTGTAGCCAATTAAGTTGTCAATTATATATGATAGCCTGACTATACATTTTTGGAGGGTGGATAACAGCTCAAGGAACCAATTCTAACTCAGTTTTTCCAAATAAAAATTTGCTTGTCTAAATCACTGCAAAGAGACTTCTTCCTACTCAAAAAGACTATATTTGAGGACGCCAACGCCAAAAGAGAATTTCATTTTTTTGGAACTGTATATAAAATCAAAAATCTCATAAACCCAACAATATTTTATATGGCACTTATCCAACAAGTATTTATTGAGGGCCCCCACTATGTGCCAGGAATGAGATGTTAAACTGAGGAACCTGAATTTACTAAAGTAAAGCAAAAGGTACTGTTTTTTCCTCCTTTTATAAAATGACTTAGTAATAAATGCCTCACCCAAGAGGGTTTCTTTAAAGATCTAATAACATGACATATGTAACCACAACTTTTAAAACAGAGAAATGTTGTTAAAACATTTGCAAGAGAAACCCTGGTGATTCCAAGGACATATTTTAGGCGTTGCCTTGTGTATAGAAGATCTTTGAATGTGAGGCTCTACTACTACTCTAACTTTTTTTTAATTAAAAATGTTCTTCTGGGAAGAGAGAATTATGTTACCTAAGAAAAGAAATCTGGACTATTATTTTCCTCATTGCCTCTTACCTTCTTTACCTTAGTCAATGTCAGGCAGGGCACACACTGGCTGTGGATACCAGTTAAGTCAAGAGGTCAGATTAACTATTCTAGATTAGCCAGAATGGAGCAATTATATTAACCCGGCAGAAGCCAGCATTACACCTTTCCTAAATCCCTGAAACTAATAACACCAGCAAACACATGATGTTCAAAGGTACGTATTATAGTATATGAGGTGATAATCTGATCCTAGGCCCTGTAGAAAATTGAATAGACCCACAAATCACATATCCCACATATAAGGGACAGATTTCCTCTTCTTGGGCTCTAAAATCACTGCAGATGGTGACTGCAGTCATGAAATTAGAAGATGACTGCTTCTTGGAAGGAAAACTATGACAAACCTAGACAGTGCATTAAAAAACAGAGACATCACTTTGCCAACAAAGGTCTGTATAGTCAAGGCTATGGTCTTTCCAGTAGTCATGTATGGATGTGAGAGTTGGACCATAACGAAGGCAGAGTGCCGAAGAACTGATGTTTTCAAACTGTGGTGTGGAGAAGACTCTTGAGAGTCCCTTGGACAGCAAGGAGATCAAACCAACCAATCCTAAAAGAAGTTAACCCTGAATATTCATTGGAAGGACAGATGCTAAAGCTGAAGCTCCAATACTTTGGCCTCCTGATGTAAAGAGCTGACTCTTTGGAGAAGACCCTGATGCTGGGAAAGAGTGAAGGAAGAAGGAGAAGAGGGCAACAGAGGATGAGATGGTTGGATGGCATCACTGATTCAATGGGCATGAACTTGGGCAAACTTCAGGAGATGGTGAGGGACAGGGAAGTCCAGTGTGCTGCTGTCCTTGGAGTTGCAAAGAGTTGGACATGACTTGGCAACTGAACAACAATGAACAACATATCACAGCCCCCCTTCCTGCTGTCCTCTATCCACTCAGAATCTGCCATGGTATTCCAAGAAAAGTTCCATGTCCCACAATTCTGTCTTCTCCAAGTTCCAATGTAAATTTCCATGGTTTCATGTGGCCTATTATTCAGTTATTTCCAACCTTTGCAAGTTTGATGACATACACTTCCTCTCCAACTTTTAAACATCATGGAGAAAAAAGAATTCATTTGAATCAGTTCTAATGAGATGGATGAAACTGGAGCCCATTATACAGAGCGAAGTAAGCCAGAAAGATAAAGACCATTACAGTATACTAACACATATATATGGAATTTAGAAAGATGGTAATGATAACCCTATATGCAAAACAGAAAAAGAGACTCAGATGTATAGAACAGACTTGTGGACTCTGGGAGAAGGCGAGGGTGGGATGTTTCAAGAGAACAGCATCGAAACATGTATATTATCTAGGGTGAAACAGATCACCAGCCCAGGTTGGGTGCATGAGACAAGTGCTCGGGCCTGGTGCACTGGGAAGACCCAGAGGGATCGGGTGGAGAGAGAGGTGGGAGGGGGGACCGGGATGGGGAATACATGTAAATCCATGGCTAATTCATTTCAATGTATGACAAAAACTATTGCAATGATGTAAAGTAATTAGCCTTCAACTAATAAAAATAAATGGAAAAAATAAAAAAATAAATAAAAAATAAAATAAAATAAACATCATGGAAATTATTTAACATATCAAAAGTAGATTTAAAAAAGCATAGTGAATCCTCCGCATACCCATCAACCAACTTTAAATACTGTCAACATTTGGGGAACTTCAAGGTTAGAATAGCCTGACAATGGGAGGTCCCTGGTGATCTACTGGTTAGGATTTGGTGTTTTCACTTCCAAGGCCTGGGTTCAATCTCTGATCAAGGAATTGAGATCCTGCTACACAGTCAAAAAAAAAAAAAAAGAAAGAAAAACAGCACGAGAGTGGGTGGTGATTAGAAAACCAAACAGAATTTTTGAAACAAAAATATAATATTTAAAAGTATAAAATCAATGGAAAGATTAAACAGCGGGATAATTAGTGATCTATAAGACAGTCCCAAAGAAGTTACCTAGAATATACCATTGTGGTGGTGGTTGTGGTTTAGTTGCTAAGTTATATCTGACTCTTGCAACTCCCATGGTCTGTAACCCACGAAGCTTCTTTGTCCATGGGATTTCCCATGCAAGAATACTGGAGTGGGTTGCCATTTCCTTCTTCAGGGGATCTTCCCAACCCAGGGATCGAACACAGGTCTCCTACATTGCAGGCAGATTCTTTACTGACTGAGCCACCAGGGTAGCCCCAAATATACCATAGAGACAAAGAAATGGAAAGATGAAAGAGAAATTATTGGTCACAGATGATAAAGTGCAAAGGTCCAATGTGCATCTGGCACCAGAAGGAGAAAATGGACAGAATAGAGGAGAATTCATATTCAAAAAATTATGACTAAGGATCTTCTAGAATTGATGAAATTCAAACCCTGAGTTTGAAGAAACTAAATGAATCCCACTCTAAATATAAAGAAATCCATGCCAAGACACATCATTGTAAAACCAAAGGTAAGAAAAAGATCCTAAAACATCTAGAGTAAAATACAGCTTACCTACAAAGGAAAAAATGAAAATAATAGGACATTTCTCAATGGCAATAATAGAAGCCAGAAGACAGTGCAATAATATCTTTAAAGTCTGAGAAGAAAATAACTGTCAACCTAGAATTATGTCATCAAAAAACTACCTCAAAAAAGATCCTGAAGTAATAACATTTTCAGAGAGACTGTGGAAGATACTCACAACTAGGAGGTCAATTACCCTAAAGGTAATTATTGAAGTTTTTAGTGAGAAATTCTAAGGCACTGGGCTTTGTATAAGTTGTGAAAATGCATAGACTGAGAACACAAAAAGACTAAGGGGACACTGGCTCCCACCACAACTACTACCAACCTCATCTTAACATTTCAATTCTGGGACATTTTGGTTACACTGGAGGTATATGGTTTACTTTTGCAGATTTCAGGGGAAGAGAACACTTCTGCTCCATCTCCTCATGCTACTGACCCCAGAAGGCCTTCCTGGCCCATAAGCTCTTAGGAGGAGTGGTTAACATGACTGGTCAGAATTTAAGGCACTTACTGGGCCTTATCTGAATCTTCTTCCTGACTCAGGTCTCTATTCCTTCCCACCTCTTACTGACATTCCCTTGGGTCTCCTTCAAAACAACTAGTTTTGGAGAAGGAAGATATAGCTGACATAATATCTTCCCAGAGAAAGTTATTATATTCTCATCCTTGCATGTAGCTCCCTAAAGTTCCTCAGTCTGGGACACCAAAGGGGCAAGGGGATGCAGGCATCCTTGGTTTCTGAATTAATAACATTAAAATACATCAGAACTCATGTGTGTCCCTCTAATATAGATGTTCATCCCTACTCTAAGGTAACGAAGACTAGCTGCTGTCCCTGGGGAAAGGAAAAGCGGCTTCTCTGCCAAATTCAAACACAGGAGATATAATCTTTGCAAGGAAGAAAAACATTGATTTCACAGGGAACTAAAGGTTAATCATCTTGGTAAAATCACCAAGCTCTCTAAAGAGGCTGAATATTTACTGTATTAGAATAGAAACAGGGCAAATGGCAAAAAGAAATCTGGACCCAAATATACACTGAACCCAATATATGATAAAAGCTAGCATTCCAGATCAGTGGGAGAAAGATGACTTATTCAATAAATGTAATGAGACAACTGGTTAGACTTTTTTAAAGCTGAATCATTACTTTATGCCAAAATAAAGTCCATATGTATCAAAATTTAAAGATAAAATATGAAAGCATAAAAATACTGAGGGGAGCATGGATGAATATTTTTACAATCTTGGAGTGGAAAAGGCCTTTTCAAGCATGTGTTACCAAATTCAGATTGTATAAAGAAAAAAATTTTATACATTTTGGCTGCATAAAAATAAAAACTTAGACCTTTCAAAATGACATGAAAATACTACTTAGAAAAAGATATATCATCTTCTTGAATAAGAAGGATTAAAATCATAAAGATGTCAATTATTCCCAAATTAGCAATCCAACCAGAATACATTTATTTTTAACTAACATATGCATACAAATCCAGTCAGAATATACTGATTTTACATCAATAATGTACTGATTGATACATTGACTTTACTGGGCAATAACACTAACGTTCATGTGGAAGAATACCTGAGACTAATCAAGAATATTTGGTAAAGAACATTAGTGAAGGGAGATATGTCTTATCACAATTCAACTTAAAACGAAGCTACAGTAAACAAAACCGTATATTATTGGCACAGGAATAGAAAAATAATCAGTGGAAAGTATGGAGAGTCCAAAATTGATTAAACTATATAGGAGAATCTATCAAAGAATCAAGATGGTTTGTATATTATATGGTGCTGGAATAACAGTATATATTTGGAAGAAAATAAACCTATTTCTTATGGCAGAAACTGATAGTTGCAATACGAATTCCATTCAGAACCCTGATTTTGTTTAGGCTAGCAGTGTGTTCAGTCAACTGTTCAACTCCCTCAGTTCAGTTCAGTTCAGTCACTCAGTCGTGTCTGATTCTTTGCAACCCCATGTACTACAGCACACCAGGCTTCCCTGTCCATCACCAACTCCCAGAGCTTACTCAAACTCATGTCCATCGAGTCAGTGATGCCATCCAACCATCTCATCCTCTGTTGTCCCCTTCTCCTCCCACCTTCATCTTGCCCAGCATCAGGGTCTTTTCTAGTGAGTCAGGTCTTTGCATCAGGTGGCCAAAGTATTGGGAGTTTCACCTTCAGCATCATCAGTCCTTCCAATGAATATTCAGGACTGACTTTCTTTAGGATGGACAGGTTGAGTCTCCTTGCTGTCTAAGGGACTCTCAAGAGTCTTCTCCAACACCACAATTCAAAAAGACCAATTCTTTGACACTCAGCTTTCTTTACAGTCCAACTCTCACATCCATACGTGACTACTGGAAAAACCATAGTTTTGACTAGACAGACCTTTGTTGGTAAAGTAATGTCTCTGCTTTTTAATATGCTGTCTAGGTTGGTCATAACTTTTCTTCCAAGGAGCAAGTGTCTTTTAAATCTCATGTATATTATCTAGGGTGAAACAGATCACCAGCCCAGGTTGGGTGCATGAGACAAGTGCTCGGGCCTGGTGCACTGGGAAGACCCAGAGGGATTGGGTGGAGAGGGAGGTGGGAGGGGGGACCGGGATGGGGAATACATGTAAATCCATGGCTAATTCATTTCAATGTATGACAAAAACTACTGTAATGATGTAAAGTAATTAGCCTCCAACTAATAAAAATAAATGGAAAAAAAAATTAAAAAAAAAAATCTCATGGCTGCAGTCACCATCTGCAGTGATTTTGGAGCCCCCCAAAATAAAGTCTGTCACTGTTTCCATGGTTTCCCCATCTATCTGCCATGAAGTGATGGGACCAGATGCCATGATCTTAGTTTTCTGAATGTTGAGTTTTAAGCCAACTTTTTCACTCTCCTCTTTCACGTTCATCAAGAGGCTCTTTGCTACTTCTTCACTTTCTGCCATAAGTGTGGGGTCATCTGCTTATCTGAGGTTATTGATATTTCTCCCAGCAATCTTGATTTCAGCTTGTGCTTCATCCAGCCTGGCATTTCACATGATGTACTCTGCATATAAGTTAAATAAGGAGGGTGACAATATACAGCCTTGACATACTCTTTTCCCAATTTGGAACCAGTCCATTGTTCCATGTCCGGTTCTAGCCGTTGCTTCTTGACCTGCATATAGATTTCTCAGGAGGCAGGTAATGTGGTCTGGTATTCCCATCTCTCAAAGAATTTTCCGCAGTTTGTTGTGATCCACACAGTCAAAGGCTTTGGCATAGTCAATAAAGCAGAAGTAGAGGTTTTTTAAAGAATTCCCTTGCTTTTTCCATGATCCAGCGGATGTTGGCAATTTGATCTCTGGTTCCTCTGCCTTTTCTAAATCCAGCTTGAACATCTGGAAGTTCTCAGTTCACGTACTGTTGAAACCTACCTTGGAGAATTTTGATCATTACTTTGCTAGCACGTGAGCAGAGTGCAATTGTGCGGTAGTTTGATCATTCCTTGGCATTCCCTTTCTTTGGAATTGGAATGAATACTGACCTTTTCCATTCCTGTGGCCACTGCTATGTTTTTAAAATTTGCTGGCCTAAGTGCAGCACTTTTATAGCATCATATTTTAGGATTTGAAATAGCTCAGCTGAAATTCTGTCACCTCCACTAGCCTTGTTCATAGTGATGCTTCCTAAGGCCCACTTGACTTCACACTCCAGGATGTCTGGCTCTAGGTGAGTGATCACACTATGGTGGTTATATGGGTCTTAAGATCTTTTTTGTATAGCTCTTCTGTGTATTCTTGCTACCTCTTCTTAGTATCTTCTGCTTCTGTTAGGTCCATAGCATTTCTATTCTTTATTGTGGCCATCTTTGCATGAAATGTTCCCTTGATATCTCTGATTTGATGAGATCTCTAGTCTTTCCCATTCTATTGTTTTCCTATTTCTGATCACTTAGGAAGGCTTTCTTATCAGTCCTTGCTGTTCTTTGGAACTCTACTTTCAGATGGATATATCTTTCCGTTTCTCCTTTGCCTTTTGCTTCTCTTCTTTTCTCAGCTATATGTAAGGCCTTCTCAGACAACCATTCTGCCTCTTTGCATTTCTTTTTCTTGGTGATGGTTTCAATCACCGCCTCCTGTACAATGGGCTTCCCTCATAACTCAGTTGGTAAAGAATCCGCCTGCAATGCAGGAGACCCCAGTTCAATTCCTGGGTCAGGAAGATCCACTGGAGAACAGACAGGCTACCCACTCCAGTATTCTTCAGCTTCCCTTGTGGCTCAGTTGGTAAGGAATGCGCCTGCAATGAGGGAAACCTGGGTTCAATCCCTGGGTTGGGAAGATCGCCTGGAGAAGGGAAAGGCTACCCCCTCCAGTATTCTGGCCTGGAGAATTCCATGGACTGTTAGTCCATGGGGTCACAAAGAGTCATACATGACTGAGCAGCTTTCACTTTCACTTTCCTGTACAATGTCACGAACTTCTGTCCACAGTTCTAAAGGCACTTTGTCTTAACAGCAAGCTTGCCTTGAGAACCCCATGAACAGTATGAAAAGGCAAAAAGATGGGACACTGAAAGATGAACTCCCCAGGTCAGTGGGTGCCCGATATGCTACTGGAGAAGAGTGGAGAAATAGCCCCAGAAAGAATGATGAGGTAGAGTCAAAGCAAAAGCAACACCCAGTTGTGGATGTGACTGGTGATGGAAGTAAAGTTGGATGCTGTAAAGAACAATATTGCATAGGAATCTGAAATGTTAGGTTCATGAATCAAGGTAAATTGGAAGTGGTCAAACAGGAGATGGCAAGAGTGAACATTGACATTTTAGGAATGAGTGAACTAATTCACAGAATTGTTCTAATTCACATAATTAAATTCACAGAATGGGTGAATTTAATTCAGATGACCATTGTATCTACTACTATGGGCAAGAATCCCTTAAAAGAAATGAGTAGCCATCATAGTCAAAAAAAGAGTCCAAAACGCAGTACTTGGGTGCAATCTCAAAAATAACAGAATGATGTCTGTTCATTTTTAAGGGAAACCATTCAATATCACAGTAATCTGAGTCTATGACCCAACCACTAATGCCGAAGAAGCTGAAGTTGAATGGTTCTATGATGACCTGCAATACTTCTAGAACTAACACCAAAGAAAGATGTCCTTTTCATCATAGGGATCTAGAATGCAAAAAGTAGAAAGTCAAGAGATACCTGGAGTAACAGGCAAGTTTGGCCTTGGAGTACAAAATGAAGCAGGGCAAAGGCTAACAGAGTTTTGCCAACAGAACTCACCGGTCATGGCAAACACCCTCTTCCAACAACACAAGAGATGACTCTACACATGGACATCACCAGATGGTCAATACCGAAATCAGACTGATTATATTCTTTGCAGCCAAAGATGGAGAAGCTCTATACAGTCGGCAAAAACAAGACCGGGATCTGACTGTGGCTCTGACCATGAACTCCTTAATGCAAAATTCAGACTTAAATTGAAGAAAGTAAGGAAAACCACTAGACCATCCAAGTATGACCTAAATCACTGAGACATAATTAGAAATCTAATGGGTAGAACTTCCAGGAAAGCTATTGTTTTTTGATTAAAAACAAAAGAACTTGCCTCTTACCCTTTTCCCTGAAAAATTCTTCCTATTACATAAATGTGACACTTAGAGTATAGAAACTGTATTACATGAGAAAGAAAATCATAAGCTAATGATTGTCGAACAGAAAGTGAGAAGCAGCCTAGATCTTTGATGGCATGTTAGAGCCACACACCAGTACTGACTTTTTACTTCCATTCTTTATGTCACTTAAAAAAAAACCCCATATCTGATGAAAACATTTTAGCAAGGATTATTTTATGCATAGTTGAATGAAAATTCTGTTAACTCAGCATCTATATCATATCATGTACAAAGATGAACTTCAAGTGACTTAGATATCTACATAAAAAATGATAAAAATATGGAGGTGTGTGGGGGAGACTTTAATTAAGAAGAATCACTGGTGCAGCCTCATGGAAAACAGTATGGAGGTTCCTCAAAAAACTAAAAATAGAATTACCATATGATCCCACAATCCTACTCCCAGGCATATATCCAAAACTCTAAATCAAAAAGATACTTGCACCTCTATGTTTACAACAGCACTATTCATAATAGCCAAGACATGGCAACTACCTAAATGTCCATTGACAGATGAATGGATAAAAAAGACGTGAGATATATATATATATTATATATATACACACACACATAAAAATACACACACACACAAACTGGAATATTACTCAACCATGAAAAGAATGAAATAATGCCATTTGCTGCAATCTAGATGGAATTAGATATTATCACACTAAGTGAAGTAAGTCACAGAGAGAAAAAAACACCATATGATATCACTCACATATGGAATCTAAAAATACGACACAAATAAACCTATCTACGAAGCAGAAGCAGACTCACAGACATAGAGAACAGACCTGTGGTTGCCTAGCGAGGTGGGAGAAGGGTGGAATGGGAGTTTGTGGTTAGCAGATACAAACTATTATATACAGAATGGATAAGCAATAAGGTTCCATTATATAGCACAGGAAACTATATTAAATATTCTGAGATAAACTATAATGGAAAAGGATATTTTTAAATGTATATATATGTATAACTGAATCGCTCTGCTGTATAGCAAAAATTAACACAACACTGTTAATCAACTATACATCAATAAAAAAAACTTAAGACATTAAAATAAATAGAGAGATTACCAGGGGCAGGGGAGAAGAATTCAAAGGAAAGCTTCACTATTGGCATATTAAGTTTTTTCTATCATGAAAGTATAAATAAAATCAAAACAAACAATTGACTGGGAAAATATTTATATTAATAACATATGAGTTACAGTCCCTAGCATTCAAAAGTTTCTACAGACTAATTAGAAACAAATGACCAGTAGAAAAAATGGAAAAGGGATATAATAAGCAAGGTGCAAAAGAGGAAATTCAAACATTCAATAAAAATATGAATAAATGCTCAGCCTCACTAGTCAGGATATGCAAATAAAAACAAGAATAAGTTATCATTTATCACTGATTTCCAAAAACCATAAAGTGTGATAATATCTGGTACTGAGTAAAGGAAATTCATACATGCTGCTAGGAATATAAATTGCTTCAACAAACTTGGAAAATATTTGAAATAACAGTCTCGGTTTTAAGGAATCTATCCTACAGAAATAAAGGCCTCAAAATGCAAGATAAATACATTGATGACATTGGGTATTTTTTATGACTATCATATCATAGTAACTGCCTTTAATTTATTCATGATTCCTGGTATACTTGTCCTTTTTGCAGTTTGATTTGCTGTTCCTTCCACTGAGAGTTAAAGTCTACTTCTCTACTTGAATCCTGGACTTGGTGACTTCCTTCCACCAATGGGATGGTACAACTGTGGCACAAACGGAAGTTGAAAAGCAATTGCAGGATTTCCCTCTTGGCTCAGTGGTGAGGAATTCACCCACTAATACAGGAGATGGGGGTTTGATCCTTGGTCCAGGAGGATCCCATATGCCATGGAGCAACTAAGCCCAACTAAGCCCAGCAACTATTGAGCCCGTGCTCCAGAGCCTGGGAGCTGCAACCACCAAGCCCAAGTGCTGCAACTTCTGCAACCGGAGCACCCTGAAGACTGTGCTCTCCAGCAAGAGAAGCCACTGCAATGAGAAGCCTGCTCGCCACACCTCGAGAGCAGCCCCCCTCACTGCAACTACAGAAAAAGGCTGAGCAGCAAAGAACACCCAGCACAGCCATAAATAAATGCATAAAATTATTTAAAAATTTTAAAAAATGTTTTAAAAAGTAATTACACACTGGAGCTTGCTCTTTCCTGCAGATAGGACCAGCCTCCTGGAAGATGAGAGATCATGTGGAGAAGACTCTGGAAACCATCCTAGCTGAGGCCCCAGATATGTGAGTGAGGCCATTCTAAACCCTCCAGTACCAGCTAAGCTGGCCCAGATGAGAACTGACCAGCCAACTCTCAGAATTCTAAGAAATAATAAATATTTGTTGTTTTAAGTCACTAATTTAGGTGATTTGCTTCACAGAAAAAAAAAGTATTTGATAGTGAAACACAAACAAAATGAGTTACAAAACTTTGGATATAATCAATGGGAAAAGAGGAATCAATTGTTTCACATCCCTGTTACCGACTATTATGCAATTATTAGAGTGTTAGAGTCTTCATCTATTAGTTCAGAGCAACCGTACCCAATATAAAGGTAATGTGAGACACATGTGTAATTTTAAGCTTTTATAGCTACATTAAAAGTAGACAAAATTTTAATAATCTATTTTATTTAACCTAATATACCCCAAATATTATCACTGTATGTGTAATCAATAAAAATTATTAGTTAGGTATTTCACATTCTTTTTTTTAAACTAACACTTAGAAATCTGGCATGTATTTCATACTTCAGCACAATTTAATTCTGACTAGCTACATTTCAAGTGTTCAATAGTTACGTGTGGCTAGATTACCACAGACTCAAATGTTTGAGTCTTTCCACAGCTACCTCCTCAATTCCTTTTTAACAGAAAAGACATATAAGTGTACATCAGTATGCAGAATGGGATGGAAGGATGTAACCCAAGTCGTTAAAATTGCTTTGCCCAGCCAACTGAGGTTGGAAGGAAAAGCAGATTATATCTCTTTATACATTCTTATAATGTTTAGCTTCATTATAAAGGTATGTTAATTAAAAAAATAATAAAGGTATGTTAATTATAAAATTATTTTTAAAAGTTAATCACAAAGCATAAAATAAACTAAAAACAATGAAATAAAAAGGAACACATCAATGGCTCCTAACCAAGATTACTTTCAAGATGAAGAATTTTACTTTTTAATAGAGATCTTTTGGCACTATTTCTATTTCTTAAACTTTAACCACATATTACTTTTTTTTTTTACAATTTTAAAAGTTACATTTTTATGTAAAATAAATATTGATTTGAAATACTTAATTCCTCATACTAAATATTTATTAAGTATCAGCTCTGATAGGCACAGACTCATTTTTTAACTTAAAGCCATAACAATTTTTAACTTACAGAATGTGTGGGAAATATTTTAGAGCATGGGAGACCTTTGGTGCACCTTCCTTCTTATTCCAAGTAAGGTAACTCTCCTACTTCCAATTACTATTCTACTGAGGAATGAAATACATGGGATTAGCTTGCCACTTAGAAACCTAATGTTACTTGGTAACAAAAAGTGCTATTTCCTAATTTTCTGCCCTACTTATGCAGTGTCATTTTTTTATGGGGGACATAATATGAAGATAGCTACAAAGTGAGCTTCCCTGGTGGCTCAGAGGTTAAAGCATCTGCCTGCAATGCGGGAGATCGGGGTTCAATCCCTGAGTCGGTAAGATTGCCTGGAGAAGGAAATGGCAACCCACTCCAGTATTCTCGCCTGGAGAATCCCATGAACGGAGGAGCCTGGTAGGCTACAATCCACGGGGTCAGAGAGAGTCAGACACGACTGAGTGAAAATCAATCAATCAATATGAAGATACTGAATATCCTAAATCTTTTGTCATCAGTTTATAGGACATCTATAGTATTATTTGACTAGTTTCCACATTGTTTTCCTGGGAGCAACCATCTTGAAAAATGTAACTTTGTACCCCTGGCCATAATTAATTCTAGAAGTGGGCATCTGGGTGGATCAGAGCACACCCAAGATTATATGGGCTTTGAATCCAAGGAGTTGAGTCAGTGTCTACCCAGCAGCTGCTGAAGCTATTAAGTAAAAAAATCGTGGAGCTATCAGCAGCCTTGCTTCCCTTTGGATGGAATATGGAAGCAAAGGCAGTCACTCTGCAGAGACAGAAAAGAGAATTGCTCAGAAAGGAGCAGAACAGAGATAGAAAGTGAGCTCTCATGACTTTTACACTCTTGGTGCCAGTTTTTTCAGAGGTTGATCTGTATCTTTACTCTGCCTTCAGCATTATTTTTCTATCTGTGACTCCATTAGCTTTCAATAAAATCTTTGTTTACAACTAAAGCCAGTTTAAGCTGGGTATTTAACATGCAATGAAATAATCCCAGCAAATACAAAGGAAGACAAATGTATATAGAACAATTGCAGTTAGGTTTTTGTTTTTTTTCCTATTTTCCATTTGTATTCTAGCATGATGTTAAACAACTTTCAAAATTTTTGTTGAAAAAAAATACTTCATTGAATCTGAAATTTGCCTATTCATGATAGAGGCATTATTAGTTGCATACCAAGCATCCATTCCTCTACTTTTCCTCCTAAAAGAAAACTTACTCGTTCATGTACTCACTCCTTTCTCCCAGGGAACACACTAACTTAGGGAAAGATGATCCATCCTATTGCTATGCATGGCATTTCCCTATCAACTGTGTATTAAACCAATTACACTACAAGGAAAGATTTTTTAATTAATTAACTATTTACTTAGTTTTGGCTGCACTGGGTCTTCGCTGAGCATGCAGGCTTTCTCGAGTTGCAGCGAGCAAGGGCTACACTTTGTTGTGGTGCAAGGCCTTTCACTGCGGTGGCTTCTCCTGCTGTGAAGCATGAGCCCCAGGCACACGGGCTTCAGTAGTTGCAGCTCACAGGCTCCAGGGTACAGGCTCAGGAGCTGTGGCGCCCTGGCCCAGTTGCCCCATGGAATGTGGGATCCTCCGGGACTAGGGAGCAAATCCACGTCCCCCACATTGGCAAGCAGACTCCACCAGGACCACCAGGGAAGTCCTGGGAAAGATTTTTATTCTATGGTTAGAGAAGTTTTTATGTCCTATGGGACATAAACAAGGAAATTGCAGTTTTAGCTGATGCTGGAAGCCATCTTCCTACTATGAAGAAAGTAACTGGAGAAGATTTAACCCTTTCTATTAAAGTTTTATTTTTTAACTTTAAATGAAAATGTTTTTCATTTATAGAATACTTAATTCCTTTAAAAATCTGCTTGTTCTTTTTTCATAATGTCCTATTCTTGCTTTAAGGGTTCTTTTCCTTTCAGACTTTGAATATTTTAAAGACACTTATATTTTGAGTAACACAATATAAACATACTTGTATTTACTTTACCACTAGTGCCATCCCAAATGGGGCTAGTGGTAAAGAACACATGTGCCAATGCAGGAGACAGAAGAGACTCAGTTTCAATCCCTGGGTCAGGAAGATCCTCTGGAGGAGGGCTTTGAAACCCATTTCAATATTCTTGCCTGGAGAATCCCATGGACAGAGGAGGCTGGCAGGCTACAATCCACAGGGTTGCAAAGAGTCAGACATGACAACTGACGTGACTTAGCACACACACATACATAGGAATGGAAATGGGAATTTATGATGGATTCATAGAAAGGTAAGCAGTACATTTTGGCTAGAGATATTTGCTATTCCATGGGTGAGAATCATTGGTATAACCTGGGAGCTTATTAGAAATGCTGAATTTTGGGCTCTACCCCAAACTTACCAAATCAGAAGATGCATTTTTAACAAGATCCCCTGGTGACTGGGGTTATTCATATAAATGTGAAAGTTTGAGAAGCTCTGTTGCTGTAAAGGAAGACAAAGCAATATAGTTAGGGAGGTCAATCAGACTCCTCTGCTATTTCAGATTTAAATTTTAGTCCTCTGTGGAAAATGAATACAACTGCAATGACTATGCTAAAGCCTAACCCATGCTAAAGTTCTAACAGTTAGAACTGGACATGGACAAAACAGATTGGTTCCAAATAGGAAAAGGAGTACATCAAGGTTGTATATTATCACCCTGTTTATTTATCTTATATGCAGAGCATATCATGTGAAATGCAGGGCTAGATGAGTTACAAGCTGGAATCAAGATTGCCAGGAGAAATATCAACAACCTCAAATATGCAGATGGTATCACTTTAGTGGCAGAAAGTGAAGAACTAAAGATCCTCTTGATGAGGGTGGAAGAGAAGAGCGAAAAAGCAGGCTAAAAATTCAATATTGAAAAAACTAAGATCATGGCATCCTGCCCATCACTTCATGGCAAATAGAGAGGGGAAAGGAGTAAGGGTGACAGATTCCTCTTCTTGAGCTCTGAAGTCACTGAGGATGGTGACTGCAGGCATGAAATTAGATGACTGCTTCTTAAAAGGAAAGCTATGACAAACCTAGACAGTGCATTAAAAAGCAGAGACATCACTTTGCCAACAAAGGTCCTTATAGTCAAGGCTATGGTCTTTCCAGTAGTCATGTATGGATGTGAGAAGTAGACCATAAAGAAGGCAGAGTGCTGAAGAATTGATGCCTTCAAACTGTGGTTCTGGAAAAGACTCCTGAGAGTCTCTTGGACAGCAAGAGTATGAAACCAGTCAATCCTAAAGGAAATCAACCCTGAATACTCATTGGAAGGATTGATGCTAAAGCTTATGCTTCAGTACTTTGGCTACCTGATGTGAAGAGCCAACTCATTGGAAAAGATCCTGATGCTGGGAAAGATTGAAGGCAGAAGGAGAAGAGGGCAACAGAGGATGAGATGGTTGGATGGCATCACTGATTCAATGGACATTAACTTGGGCAGACTTCAGGCGATGGTGAGGGATAGGGAGGCCTGGCGTGCTGCGGTCCATGGGGTCACAGAGTCAGACATGACTTGGCAACTGAACAAGTTTGCATAATCTCTAGTATATGTTACTTAAAGACTCTGAAAAAAGCATTTATTTAATTTAAAAAGTACTTCCACATTTACAAAGCTTTCAGATGATCATTACTATATTATTATTATAATAATTATAACTTTGATGTAAACAAAAGCCAGTTATCAGAACTTTTTAGTGTAACAGGTAAGTGGAAATTTGTTCATCCACAGGAAAAAGGAGAAATAAACTGTGGGGCATCCATACAATGGATGTTATATTTAGCAAAAAACAAAACAAAAACAAACTATTGATTCATACAATAGAATGAATGAATCTCAAAGATTATGAATAATTGAAAAGTAAATGAATCTCAAAAACATTATGCTGAGTGAAAGAAACCTTGTACAAGAGTATAAGATTAAAAA